TTTGGGGATTAGACCCATATCTGATGAAGCAAGGCTAATGATATTCTTGTTTGATTATTGCTGCTTTATTTACTCATATATGACTAGGATTCTGGTCATAATTGTTTCTTATGAACCTTGGACGAGCTAATTAGTCTGCGATTTCGTTGGCAAAATTATTTTCAAATTCTTAATTCTGTATCAGTTCTATTCTGCAGTCTTGTTTATGAACAGATCTTCATATATTTTTTTCATACCTAATAACAGGATGGAGGATGGCGCCCGCGCACTAATGATTTTTGAATCTGCGCAGTTCGTCACTTACCTGGCTAGTCCATACCTATATCCCACAGCTTCTATCCGCATCCATCAGTTGTCGGACGGAAGGTTTTGCGGCTCTAAGCGAACGTCTTGCCCTTTCTCAAATACCTCTTGTCTACAGTCCTTTAGAGAGGTTCCAGCTTGTCTCAACAATCTTATCTCTAGTACATACGAAAATCAGACATATTCTGGCCTGAATGCTTCAAATGGAGGCTTTTCTAATCTTTCTGTGGCTTCATCTCAGGTGCAACAGCATCAGAAAAGCAGCTTTGCTACTAACTTTGTTATCGGAGCTGGGGTCGTAGCCTCAGTGAATCAGACGGCAGCTGCCGGTTCTGTTTATTACACTGCACCTGCACAGGTCTCTCGATCTTCTAACCTTCGCCGCGGTAGCACAGCCCGACGCCATCTCTCGCCAGTCCAACTCCAATGTGTGGGCAGCTGTTTGGTACCGGAAGCAGCTAAGCTAAGGGCTGACCTTATGACTGGCCCTGCAGCTTATGTTCTTCATTGGGATACGGAGTCCCTAATAGGTGAAAAATAATTTTGGACAAAAGTTTCTTATGAAAATAATTTTTAATATCAGATATGAAATTTTTAAAAATATGAGTGAGCCATTCTGTTCTCTGGGGAGGCGACCCTTCCTTCAGGATAGCATTGCCTTAGCTGATTTATATTTTATTGGGAGTGCGGGGTCGAACCACAGTTCATCCTCAATGAAAGCATTTTGATAGGCAAGGCTAAGGGAAATTCAGTTGGGAAAATTCAACTCTCAGCCCTTAGCTCATTTTGAACGGTCTAGGGTGACTAAGTTCTCATTTAGTCTCAATTTGGAATCATTTAAATTCGTTTAATAGAGGATTGATTTAATTTATTTTTTTAAACAGGCAAGCTACGTATT